AGTGGATAAAAAAGAAATGATTACATTTCCATCTTTTGAAGCGCTTTTTCAACCGGCTGTTTTTACTTCTACTAGCAAAAACCGTAACTAAAGATAAATAGGCTTGAGTGGCGATTTTCTCTCGGTTAAAGGGTTCGATATAGCGATTTCCTCGTATTCTTTCTCTCGTCTCTGTGACGACAATTCTACCGTTAAATTTTGTCGAAACAGGTCTGGCAATTGATTGGCTGATTCAGCTTCGATTGCAGGAACAAATGCCAATAAATTCAAGTCTTCGTGTTCAAACTCGATAACGTTTTTTTTTTTAACAATATCTCATAAAAATAAAATAAAACGTGAAATTTTTTTTAAATTTTAAAGATTACATTTCCTGTGCACGTTAATATTCTTTGAAAGGAATTTCATGGATTCCTCTTTCGGTACGATTCTCTACGACCGACCAGAGATTAATATCGTCAACGACAATGGAAGGAAATGCGGCTGTCCATAAGGAATTTCCTGCGGATAACAGATCTGTATTTCCTTTTTCTAAAATGAAAACTGAGTTCCTGATACGTTCCTGGGGATCGTTATCTTTTTTAATTTTTATTTTTATAGATTTTTCAAAAAAAAAAGTTTTTTGACGTAATCAAATTTTAATCGCAGTTGGCACGAAATAATATCTTTGAAACTTCTTCTTCTCCGAATTATATTATATATCTCGTTTGAATTTGACTTATCATTTTAGATAATTTCAACGAAGTTTTAAACTCGACATTACACCAAATCTCGAAGTATGTTTAACATTTGAAGATATCAAAATTTTGATAAAGTTGACCGACCTTGCCTCTTTCCAGTTTAAATATTCTTTCAATTTAGAGATTTGATTAGAAGGAAACTAGAAAAGAGGATTTCGAATGAAACATTTGTTTTCAAGAGATTTTTACGGGTTATTGCTCTTTTAACGACTTCTTCTTTCCGAGTTTGATATGTCGAGGAGGAATTGGTGAAGGAATAACAAATCGAGGATGGTCTTTGTCCTGTCACTTTCCATCTTTCTTTCGATCGATGAAGCTGTCTTTCTCCGTCAGGGTAACTTCTGTAAACGACAAGATAGAAGGCCACCTTTACATCGCAATAAAAGAAGAAATATTTGCCGGTGGATAGAAAGGTCGAGGACTAAAATAGACGTAACGCCACCCTGTATGGAATAGACTGGTGGAAAAAGCGCCATCAACCTCCCTGCTTTTCGGCAAAAGTGTACGAGAAAAATACCAAAATTAATCTAAAATTACTCAAAATTCTTCTCGCAGAATTTTTTCGAATCGTTTTGTCGAAATTATTCGATAAGAACACAATTCTTTAAAAATTCTGTATATAATTCTTGAAAGAGGATCATAAGTTATTTCTTCTTTACTATTTAAATTAATATTTTCATCACATAGAGAAACCATACAGATAGATTGCACTCGTTTCAAATAATTTTCGTAAATTTTTACCTGTCCTTTCCATTCGAATAATTCCAATAATTCCAATATTTTTCCAAATTTCTTAACGCACAAATGACAAAAAACTCAGATGTGCACAGTCGCGAAATGTAACCCATCTCACCACCAGTTCCAGAAGCAGACTATTTGGTGTGGGGAGGGGCACCCTGTCGTTCCAAATGTTACAGAAGGGTGGTACGGTTATATAGGTGTATTATCCCCTTTCTCGCTGCAGGCATTCATCCGTGAGTCATCCGCCCCGGGTGTGACGTCATTTCGACGTCCTCCACCCCATCGGAGAAATCCACCATCGAAAGCGTGTCATCGTTCGATTATTATGCAAGGGAGAGATTCAGGAATCGTTCGATCGTCCTCTCGAGAATTCTTTCGTTCGTTGCAACCGATAATTTTCGTCCCTTTTTTTTCCCCCGTTAATTCGAATGAAGATATCATACCGACAATATTCTGACAATACTCGATATGGAGTTGGATGGAAAGAAGAAGGGAACTAGCAACTCGAGACCATTCGGTAATTCGAGAGATCGTTAAAATCGTTTCGCGTTTCTCAAGTGGCGCAAGCTCTCTCGACTTCCGCTTCCTACTTCTCTATAGACCACGTTCAATGCGTTTAGCTGTCGAGACTCGCTTTTCTTCTGCCTTAAGCAGGGTAAATTGCGAGACAATCGCTGGAAAACACCGTATTCGTACACGGTGGAATATAGATAGATTTCGTTCGATTTTTTAGAATCGATTTAAATTGGTATGTGTAATTAAAATTAGTTAATATTATGCTGTTTGAAGATAGTTTTATTTAACAAACGATTAATATTTTACGTTCATCATTGTTATTCAAATTGATTGAATTTGACGACAGATTGTCACCAATTGTGAATGACAGAGGGAGTGAATTACGATGGGGTGAGGATGTGAAAGAACCGAAGGAGGAGAAAGAAACGTTTAATTGTTGGGGAGGAAATCGATATTTTAATTCGTCCGTTTCATTTCTATATTTGGATCGATTTAATTGTTTTTCTTTCTTTTTTTCTTTCGTTTGGAGAAAGCATGTTATCATAATGATGCGTTTCGATTTCTGGGGCAGGCGTAGGTTGGGTAAAAATAACACGACCCATGGTATATTGGAATAGAAAATATCAGGCCATGCTTCGAACATTTTTCCGTATGGACATGTTTTAAACTGGAATTGGAAAAAAAAAAA